CTTTAAGAACAAAAATCCTAAAGAAATAATAAATCAATTGAAAAACTTGGGCATATCCTAAAGCAAACTCTAAAAAGTGCTACAATAAAGATATAAACAAACTATATAGAAACAAGTATGGAGAAATTAATTTTGTATGAAAAACTTACATCTCAGTTTCTATAAGAAATTTTAAGTTTGACTTTAAAGAAAAAAAGTCAGTGGCTAAATACTGAAATATTTCAAGCAGAAAGCTCGAGTCTTGGGAAATTGCAACATGTATTTCAGTTCTCCAAACAGAAAACTAGAATGGTTAGCTAAAATGAATACACACTGGCTGGATAAAGCTAATGGAAGGTGATTAATTCTACCAGGAAAGGCTGCGGCTCCAACCCTGAGGATGAAAATTAACTTGTTCTGCATGCAAAAGAGAGCATCTTTAAGCACATATTTGTTATAAAGAAAATTCTAGGAGCAGTGTGCAAAAACGGTTTGGAATATTTGAGAGAACAAAATCTAGAACCATGAAGCCCAGTAAGAAAAATTCCATTAAGACAGTCACGGCTTGAGCTAGTCCGTGGAAAGGAGAATCAGAGGCAGAACAGTCTGCACATGTCAACTTGACCGAACTTGACAGGGAGCGGGGGTGATAAAAACAACGCCCAGCTTTCAAGTCTTAGTGGCAGGGAGCACGGAGAGCACAAGTCTGGGAGGATAAATAGATGATGAATTTTGTTTTGGACATTTTACATTCAAAACAACACTGATATGGAGGTGCCCATAGCTTGAAATTCAAATCTAAGTCTCAGAAGTTAAAAATAAACATCAGAATGATAGTTTTGGTTACATGGAAATAACAGCTGAGGAGGGTTTGAGCGATGAGTGTAAAAAATGGATTAGGGCGCAAGCACTGAACCCCTGCGGACATGCATATTTAAGGATCACATGGAGAAGGAAGAGCCTTGGAAGGACCTGAGAAGAATCACAAAGTGCGAGAACCTCCAGAGGGTGTGCTGGACCAGCAACGCCAGCTGTCGAGATTTACAGAGAAGTCCAGCTGCTGGAAGTTAAGGTGGAGTCGTCAAATTGAGCAAAGCCAAGTTAATTAAGGTCTTTTAAAAAAAGCAGTGTTAAAATGGGAAGTTTATTAGTTCCTCAAAAACTTAAACATAAATTTACCATACGACTCAAGAATTCCACTCCTAGGTACGTAACCCGAAGAACTCACAGATACATGGAAACGTATTCAGAGCAGCATTATCCACGGTGGCCAAAAGGTAGAAACAACTCAGTGTCCATAGCCGGATAAATGGATACACAAATTGTGATATAGCTAAACAAGAGTCTGATTCAGCCATATAAAGGAATGAAGTCTCCTATATGCTATAACAGGGGTGGATCTTGACCATGAATAAGCCAGATACAAAAGGGCAAATATGGTATCAGTCCACTTCTGTGAGGCATCTATCACAGGCAAATCCACAGGAGGGGGAGGGTAACGGGGAGTTATGGCTTAATGGTTACCGTCTGGGATGATGAAAATCTTTTAGAAAGAGTCGTAATGGTGACAATATTGCAAATGTACTTAACGTGTTTGAATTGTACACGTCCTATGGTTAAAATGATAAGCTCTGTTATGTATATTTTACATTTTTTGAAGTAAAAAAGAACCCAAGGTGCAAGGAACAGCAAAGAAACTGTCCAGATGTGCAAAGTGTCCACTCTTCTTTCATGAACTTTAACTTGTGAAGCTCAATTAATACATGTTGAAGGCGGGCTGTTTTTTTCTGAAGGCAGAGATCTCAGCACCCAGCATTTCTAGATAAAAGGGGGAAACTGAAAAAATTTTGTGGGTGCACAGCAGCATGAAAAACATACTCAAAGTTATAATTCCGTTTTATATTTGGAAAACCAAATCATAATCTAGAGATAGAAAGGAATGCTGGGCCAAATCTGCTTTGATGATAAAAATAAACAAAGCTAGTGCATCGTGAGTGTAACATTCCTCAAAGGGTGAAGTCTCTCAGAATTGGAGGGTGGGGACTTGATATTTTTATAAGTATCCAAACGACATCAATCTTCAGAATGAGGAAAACTGTACAAGACAAATAACCCAAGTATGGTCCAAAAGAAACGAAAAGAGAAACTTGAGAGGCTCATCACCCAAACGCCACGTGTGGACCTGGCTAAAATCCTGACTGGCACACACCAGCTGCTGAAAAAAAAAAAATGCGAAGTTTTTCGCGGGTGACGTCACCGCCCGCAGGTGGTGCGCCGCGGCCCGGGCTTCGTCCAGAAAGTTCTCGAGGCCTCGCGCGCGGCCCTGGTGTCTGGGGTTTGTCTCCGGGCGGCTTTCGGGCTTTTCCCTCTTATAAAAATGCTTATGTTAGACAAATGCCCTGCAAAATATGAAAACGTGTTCGACTCACTTATGATGAAAGAAACGTGGGTTAAAATCTAAAGGCGTGGCTGCAGTACAGCCTTCGGGGCAGCTGTGCAAAACCTCGAGCATTGGCGACTGAGTGCAAAATAAAGCGCGCCTGGGGAACAATGCCCACGTGGAGCCACATCAGCCTCACCTGGGCTTCCTAGGCATGCCGAATCTTAAGGCCCAGGCCAGCCAGACCTATTTGGTAATGGAAAGCTGCATTTTCCCGAGCCCGCCGGGTGATTGATGTAGTCCAAATGGCACTAAAATGTCCTTTGCAGTGTAGCATTGTGGTGAAACCCAGGGCCTTTGAGGCAGGGCTGATTAAACTAGCGTATGGGCTGCGCTAGTTTGACTTTAGATACAGTTGTCTGATGAAATACAGACCTGAAATCTGAATTTCAGATAAAGAGCAATTTCAGATAAAGAATAAAGTATTATTTATCCAAAATTCGAATTTAAGTGAGCTTACTGTATTTTTATTTGCTTAATCGTGAAATCCTAACCCCAAATTCTACCCTTAGTTTTCTCATCTAATGAAATGGGGATAATAATAGGACCTGTCTCATAAAGCTGCGTGAATGAAATGAGATAATTCATGCAGAGGACCTACCATGGGGTGTGACACATGAGAGCTCAATAAGTTTAAATTCTTAATTATTATTTCATACAGGTGTGTGTTAGGATAAATTCCTACAAGTATGCTTTAGTTATAGGCTTAATTTAAGGCTTGTCTGAGCATTCGATCATACCAAACATCGTGTTTTGTGAAAAACCTTGAGCAAGTTAGCAGATATTTCTCAACTAGCTCCAGAATACAAACCAGATTTTTTAATTTCCATACAAAAACCAGTAATTGCCAACTGCAGGCAAGTATGGATTTCCTTTCAATAACTCCAAATAGTTGGATGTTGATTCTGACTTGTTTCTGTTCCAGAATCAGTTGAAACAATATTCAAGAGGTTGTTTAAACAATGTGCTACGTCATTTCTAAGATTTATCCATGGGAGCTAGTATCTGAACTAAATAAATTATTACAAAACAGTTAATATTAGGCCCAGGGCTCTAAGATAAAGAACATTTCTGTCTTTTTCTTTCAGCAAAGCTGGTATTTACAATATCTTCCTTTCTGCTTACCAAAAAAATTACTCTCAAGTTTCAAAACTAGAGAAAAGATGTCACTTCCAGAAGATACTCTGTATACTACTATAATTTTTTTCTTTCCACTATTTTGTATGTTACTCTAATTTTAACAGATTCATGTGTTTATTGTAGTCAATTTTGACTACTTTCTAGAAACAGTTAAGGTAGAAATATGGGCCAAGAATATAATCACAACGTGGTGCTTACTTTGCGCCGCTAGGTTGACCTTTTAAAGGCTCAATCAAGTTATCCTGTCCATCTGTAGTATGTGAGCACAGGTCTTTCTAGCAATAGATATTAGAGAGTATTTTGCTAAATACATAGGTATAAAGAGATCATAAACGGGTCCTTTTTCTTTACGTTGTATATATTATCTCAAAAAACACCAGTTCCATGAAGGGAGGGGTGTTGGGGTGTTTGTCTGCTCCATTGTCTGCAGCACCCCAGCACCGAGGAGGACACCTGGCCCAGTGAGGATAACCGCTCAATTGCTGACTGAATGAGCATAATAGATGAGTCAAGTTGTTCCTTGTCAAAACTAGCTTGTTTTCTCCAGCGCAGGCTACGTGAGTGATCTTATCCTCAGTCTCCCCGACTCCTTTTTACTCTGTTCGACGTGTTCCTCACTCTTTTTCTCATTCTCTTTGTCTTTGTGAATTAAATATAACCACCTGCATCACGGTGACTGCAACAGCCGTCGCTCTCACCCAAAAGGAGTACCTACTTTAGGCCCCTGGGGGTGTGTTCACACAGGATGGATATGGAATCCAGCTGCTGCTTCCCGTGATCCCAGCTAATGGGTTCTCAAGTCTGTTAGAACACAGGTTATCAATGAGGCATGCGATCCAGGAAGTGTCAAGAGAGCTGCAGGCCAGAGCCACAGGAAGGGACAGACGTGAAAAAGGCAAAATCAAAAGCAGGGAAGAGGGAGTGTCTCCAAGGGACAGAAGGACACAGAGGAACGAATGGGGAGTCTGGCCTGGAGAGCGAGGCCGGGACACCCAGGCAAGTGGACTGGCCATCAGAAACCCAGGAACCCGACCAAGCACGGTGCCAGTGCCAGAATCTTCACGGGCAGCGAGAAAGGGGTTCGACGCAGTTGAGCTGAAGCTGTGATGTGCAAACCAAGGCTCTCTGGGCACGTCCTTCTGAGAAGACCACTGAGCCAGGTGGCCTGTCTGGAGTAGGAAGGACCGGGCCAAGCCTCCAAGAGTGGGGCTGTCCCTGTGGTCCACCGGGACCAAGTGAGTCTGGCGAACAACTGGAGAACATTGTATGATAGAGTCTTAACTGTGTGACAGCAACATTTTTAATGTTCAGGGCTTTGCCACCCCAGAAGTTTGTGGCAGATGAGTGACAGAGTATTCAGAGCTATCGTTAGAGGGAGGAAAAGGCGCCCCTGTAGTAGACAACTCTGGTTGCTGTGTTTCTTATCACACTTCACATAACTTCACGCTGTTGCAGACCCAGCCTCGCCTGTGGGTCGAAGGGCTGGGGGACTTTTTAACCCTTTATTAATGGGGATGATTCGTTTTCCTTTTATCAGCGGCTCTTAGATGGCTCCAATTCTGGGAAGATAGTGTCCAAATACCACTGAAAGGACTTGCAACCCAACCGTTTCCTTAACTCGACACGTTCGCTAATGTTTCCGTAGGGAATGAACCTCAGACCAGGTCTTCGTAAAAACACCTGCTCCTGAATGGAAAAAAGAGAGTTGCATTAAACCGAACAGATCTTAGGCAATCAAATCATGGCAGCTAACATAGCAGTATGTATTTTTATCACCTGAGTTTAAAAAAAAAATACCTTTTGATTTCCTCTGTATAGGGACACACATACGACCTGGGACTCACTTGCCCCACAGTCTTTGCTGTGATGGACCACAGCAGAGGTGGCGTAGGAGGATTGGGAGGGTTGGGTCCTGCTTCTCGAGAGCCCATGAATCACAGCCACCTGTTTTAACATATCCCCTTTCTCCTGGTCTTCTTAATGATACTCGAGGACAAAAACCCTCACTCCCAGTCTCGATTGACTCTTCTATGTCTTCAGAGATGGGGTACGGTGTGGGGCCAAGGGCCAGCGCATAGCAGAGTGATAGGGTTAACTAGAGAAGGCGTTTATGTATCGAAATTAGCATATGACGGGCATGCCACTCCGGATTTTCCCCAGGGGTCCTTGTCAGCGTGTCGGGCCAGTCTTGGTTCTCCAGCGTGGTTTGGTGCACGGGATGGGCCTGAGGTGTCGTCATTTTGGAATGAATGCTGGGAAAACCTGAGGCCACATCTCCCTGTCTGTCAAGCCCTCTCTTGTCCAGTGTCACTCATTAAATTTCCCAGTGTGCCGTGTCATACAATGTATTGATTTTATGTCAAATATTACATGCTTTGTAAGTTAGATGGAACTTTTTGTCACTATATCCTCTGTGAAATTCAGTGTTCGAGCCGACTGTTTAAATCTGTGATGAGTTCACAGAAAAGTAATCAAAAAATAAAAATAAGCTCAAGATCTCTTGTAATTAAATAAATACGATTTTAAACAACGATACATAATTTTTAACCTATCGGATTAGAAGAAATACCAAATTTAATTAAAACCAGGGTTGGAAAAGTTGTGGGGAAACAGGCACTTTCCTATACATTCGATGACAGTATAGGTGACAATCTAGACGGTGAAGGGCAGCATGGACATTATCCATCAGGATTTAAAATGCATGAACTTGTGGCCCAGGACGTTCATGTCTTGAGATTTGTTCCAGAGATATAGCTACACAAATGCACAAAAAGATATGTGTAAAGGATGTTCATTTCAGCAGTTTTAAGGAAAACCCGAAAGCCGAGATGGTCAAAATATTTATCAATGGGGGACTATTAACGGGATCAATTTTAGTAGATCCAATCAAAGGAAATATTTTAAAGGATATATTTATATATTCTGATTTTGAAAGACCTTGACAATATGTTTTTAAAATATACTAACAAATGGGGAAAAAAATCGCAGAACAAAATATTGTGCAAATCTAGTTATGTAAAAGAAAAAGATATGTACTGTGAGTATATGTGTGTTAACAAGAAGCCATAAACAGTAATTTAGTGATGACTTCGAGAGGTGGAACTATGGGGTCAGAAAGCTTACTTTTTACTTCATTAAATGAGTGGGTTTTACCTTTTTAAAAAAATCAGGAAATATAATAAACGTACAATAAGTACATAAAATATGAATATGCAACTTAATGAATTATTGAAAAATCAACCCGCGTAATGCTCGCTAGGGTGGGAAATAAAGCATTGCCAGCATCCCCCTGCCTTGCCCTTCCTGATCAGAAGAATCCTTCCTCTCAGTTTTAAATGCTGTCCTGATTATGGATTCATTGCTTTGCTTTTCTTTCTGACTTTGCTATCTAATTATACCTGCCCAGATTATATGGCTTAATTTTACCCATTTTAACTGTATAGAAATGGAATACCACCATATTCTATTGCGTTTGGCTGCTTTTGTCCACCATTATGTCTAAGATTTACCCATACTGTCGTATCTACCGTTGGTTAATTTTCATTGCCGTATTGATGAACTATATCACATTTATCCATTCTACTCTTGATGAGTATTTGGGCTGTATTCATTCTGGGCTAACGATGCTGTTTATGAACATTCTTGTTCACGTGCTCTGGTGCACAGACCCACGCATTTCTGTAGCACGTACACAGAAAGGCATTGCTGGGATAGCCATATCTTTTACTTAACGTTGCCCAACTGTTTTCCAAAATGAGTTTGTAAGGATTACTACTCCCACCATCAGTGTCTGAGAATCTCTGTTGCTTACCGACACTCGGTCCTATTAGATTTTTAACATTTTTTTTTTTTTAATCTAGGCAGCTGTGTAGAAACCTCTCACTAAGGTTTTAATTCACATTGCCTGATGACTAAAGCAATTGAGTATTATTACTTTTATCATTTAAAATAATAAATTAAAGAAACATTAGATCAAGACCAGGACCTATAATACCACGGAGACTCTTCCATACTTCTACCCGTGTGTCTGAAAGGAGGCCTTTTTGAGGTTACCGTCCGTGTCTGTCGTGCATGGATTCTTGCGAATTAAAATGAAGGCACAACTACGCGTCCTCCGTATGTGTAGCTTTCCAGGTCCTGGCAAGGGGCTTAAGCCTTGGGGAGATATGCACAAACGAAGGGGCATGGCTTTGGTACAGAAATCGTTGACCACTGGTAGAAAAGAGGTAGTGGAGGTTCCTGCGTGGTCCCCAGACCGGAGCAGCCACGTCACTTGGGAACCTCGTGGAGGAAGATGAGAATCTAAGGATTTGCCCAAGGGGATGACAGCAGGAGAGGGGTTTGCTCCAGAGGGGCAATCCTTGGGGTCGGGGGAGAATAGATCTAGGGGGAAAAGGACTCTTGTGTTGGCTGATTTACTTCTGAGACATTTGAATTTTGGTACAAGTGTAACAGCTTAGAATGAACTAATTGAGAATACGGTCTGGAGATGGGGGGGCCAGTAGTGAAAGGGGTGCTGCTAATTTAAGGAAAACTGAGGGGAAAAAAATCCATATCTGAAAATGCGGTAGAAGATTCCTTTAGAGAAAGCCCCGCGCCGTACTCTCGTCTTTCCAGACCAGAGACGTATCCTTTGTTTACCTTGTACTCATCCAGCCAAACGTGCGCCAGTCTGAGACTGTTATATGTCATGGCTCTGATAACTCCGGATGAATGTGAGAATTGCTGCTTAGTGATGTGTCCTACTCGAGAGCAGGGCAGTATAAAGATTTGGCCCCCGCACATCCAGATCTAGGCATAAAAAACACAGAAAACATATTAACATGCGTTTGCCAGGGATGGGCAACTGCTGAATTCTTTCAACATAATGATAGTTAACATTTACAAAGTTTCTTATTTCATGCAATCCTCACGACAACCCTATAATGTACGTGCCGTGATTATCCCCATTTTATGGATGAAAAAAGTAATACGTAGTTTGGTTAAGAAGTTTGCCCCGTGACATAGAGAGCTGGTAGGCGGCAGAGCACAGGGTTCAAACTCATGGCCAGCGCTCCGATACTAAGTGATTCTGCCTCTCTCATACACGGCCAGTTCTGATGCTGATGATGTGTGAAGAGTGGGAAGATAAAGTGTCTTAAAAGATTCTCAAACAGTACTCTGAGAGTACCATTTTCAGAAGTACCTGAGTATTCCCGGACGTAAGCGAGTAAGAAGAGAAAGGCTGATCATGACCGAATTCAATTATTCATCTTTCTGTACTAAAACGCTCTATAGCATTTACTTTAAATAACTTTTTATTATATAAAAGTAAAATATGACTTGAAAAACTGGCAAATGTGGGAAAGCACACAGAAGAAAGTAAAAATTACTCTTTGTCCTAACACTTTGTTAGTCGGTATTAGTCTAGGTAGATGTGTGGAACGGTGAAGCATGCACAGACGTGTGTGTGTGTGTGTGCACGCGTGTGTAGGGGGAGGAAGGATGAGGTCACCAACGCCTTCCTGAAGAAATGACATCGAAGCCGTAGCTGTGGACCATGGCGGTGGGGACAGACGAAAGTGGACAGAGACGAAGGGTGATTTAGAGGTAGAACTGGTGGGATCCGCGGAGGGAGGTGAGGCCTGAGAGACCCAGCAGGTCCTCGGGGAGCGGGGTGAGGGGTGGGCAGGTAGTGAGTGGTGGGGTCGTCCACCGTAAAGGGAACGGGGGAGGAGGAATGGGCTCGAGGGACTGGAAAACAGTTCTGTTTTTGCACTGTTGGGGTTAGCATGCCTAGGGGACATGCGAATGATGGTAACCTGTGGGCAGCAGGTCGCACAAGCTTCAGACGCAGAAGGAACTGGGGAGGAACTGGAATTGGTGTCATCGGCATAAAGTCGGTCGCTGGAGTGTGAAATGGATAAGGGTACTGAGCAGGAGGAGGAAGAGAAAGGGGGCCTTGGGGAAACCCCGTAGGGGCGGAGATGCTGAGCAGGTGGGCCGAGGAGGTAACCGAGGGCGCGCTGCAGGGGCCGCCTCGTCCTCCGGTTCGCGGACTTCGAGGTCCGCCTCGGTCGCCCTCTGCTGGCAGCAGGTGGGCTGTTTTCCAATTACAGCGTCCAAGGAGGTTCAGCCCCCCTGGGCCGAATCTAACATGGCAGAACATCTAAGAGGTTCAGTCTGGGGGAGGCAGAGAAACCGGCTTCTTGTGGCCGGTGATGCTCCAAGTGTGTGGCAGGGCCTGGGTTCCCAGAGCACTGCCCCTTGCCCCTGCCTGAGGACACCAGGATGGAGCACAGGCCCCAGGGGTCATGGGGCCGGCCATGACACAGGCTGTTAGGGACAGTTCGAGGCTGGCCTCCACTCTGCCAGGGAAACCGAAGTGGGAATCTGAAGCCTGGTTATGAGAACCACTCCGAGGCTGGGCGTGAGGCCGCAGTGCCCTGGACACCTGTGAGTCACCACCTGCCACGAGCAATAGTAACTCTGAGATCAGAGCAGCTAAAACAAATTCAGAGCATCGGAGGCTACCGAGAAAAGTGACTTAGAAACACCGTGGAACCGAGCCGGTCTCAAGACCCGAACTTGAGTATATAGTATGAAGCAGATTCGGAGCGTACTACTTATGACTTCTGTGACTCGACCGCTCTGTGCCTCAGTTTCCCCATTATAAATAGGAAATAATGGTGGTAGCGACCTCGCAGGTATATTATGAAGATTAAATGAGTTACTACCTGTAAGATTGCAGAGCAGTGCATATCACACATAGCCAGAACTTGGTACATAAAGGAAACACAGTTTTAGCCTTTACATTTTAAATGCCCCTTCAGTAGGGGAGCCATCTAAGACACACCTCCCTGAAGACAGGCTAGGTTCCCCTTCTGTGTGATCTCACAGTACTCCTTATTTCTCCATCGTTACGTTTATCAGAAGTAAAATTAAACGAGTAATGGAAGCTTCGAGCTGTGTGACGCGACAAACCACTTTACATTGTGCGCTGCTGGGTTTTAGCACCCAGCACGGTGCTTTGCACCTGACAGGTTCTCGATAAGCATTGCCGACTAATGAACGAATGAAGGAATGAGGATCGTGTCATCTTCTGAACGCCCGGCATGTGGCACAGCCTGACACAGAAGGTGCTCCTTAAATGATGGCTGTATTTAACCCAAGTAGCACTCCTGAGAGAGTCCTAAACTAAAACTTTAGATTTGGGTGCTGTCACCATGCAGGTGTGAGTTACAGCCATGGGAGTTGACGCGGGTATGTGATGAAGAATCCTAATACGGACGCTGGCCGATCAGCGCGGAGGTGCCACCACAGGTCCTGGTGGCCCAAGCCTGCCAGGTGCTGTCCCTGTAGTTGCTGGATCACGGGAGGGTCCAGAAATCCTCGGGAAGGGTGGGGTGGTCGGACTGCAGGTGCGAGGTATTCAGCTGACTCAGAGTAGAGGTTTTTTCCCACCAGATAAGGAAATAATGGACTATATTAACCACGAGCATGGCTTCACAGGTGCAAAATGGCTGACGATGGCCCTGAACTCTGAGGAGCACATAGGATGAGAAGAGAGGTCGATGAGGACAACAATCTTGGGAATCCCCATTTTTAAGAGATGCACAGAAGAAGTCCTGGGAAGGAAATTCAGCACCAGCAAGCAATGGAAGAGGAAGCAGAAGTGTCCTAAATCCAAGAAACTTCTGAAAAAGACTGGTCTGCAGTGTCTAATGCTGCAGTAACCTCGAGTATACAGAAGACCAAGAGCCATCCATTAGACACACCAATATTAAACCGGTCACAGTTCCCGGAATAACATCGCAAGACGCTCAGGGCCCCCGGGACGCTGATTTACTAGAACGAAGAGGACGTGAGAAACGGAGACGTATAGATAGGCAGGTGACCTTTTCTCGAGAAAGACAGGTCACTTCTCTTGGTCAGAGACCGCTGCCAGGGTCCAGAGAATGCTTTAGCTATTTATTAATTAGATGTTTGTTTATGAAAAAGAGAGATTCAAGCATACCAAAAAGACCGGAAGGGGCCATTAGGAATGGAGTGGTTGAAAATATTGAAGTGAGCATAATTAATACATTGGAATAAGTTAACTGTCGTTACTCTCTGGAGGAAATACCAGGGAAAAGAATACACTCACTTTTCAACTATGCGTGTATCATTCACAAAATTGATTTTATTCTGAGACACAAGAATGTGTTTATTAACTTATCAGGCCCCGACAGGGGGCCATTCCGTATACTATATTCTCAGAGCCATGCAATAAAATGAGGAATAATCAATGAAACAAAGAAGAGTGCTAAAGGCATGGGTCTTATAAAATAATTCCTGGATCTAAAGAGAAGACATGAATGAAAAAAAAAAAAAAGCAGCAGCAATGAAAATAACGGATTTACAGAAGGTTGTCAAATAGGAGAAGAATATACTGCTCTCGGTATTCCTATATTCATAATAAAGTATCCGAAGCTTTACGAAAGAAGTCTGTAATTTTAAACCAGCCAAAAGGAAGGAAGGAAGGAAGAGGGAGATAAAATCCAAACCAGAAAAAAAATCGGAGAAAGAAAATACAAAAAGCAAATTAATACGTGCCAAGATAACATAAGAAAATCAAAGTACGGTCTCTGCAGATGACTTCACAGAGCACAAGGAACAGATGGCAAAATTTAAACTTGAATAACAATGGCTGTCGCTTATTAATCGGCTCCTATAAATTCATGGATTAAGCTGTTTTCTCTCCACTAACATGTCTCTGTTGGGAAAAGAGACAAACGAGACAGAGAAAAATGAGGGAAAAATGGCAAGGGTAATAGCGGGGAGCTCCCGGCCTAGATTTTTATGCACAGTCCAAAGTGATCGTTATAAAAACCGGTTAGAATTGAGTCAAAAACAAATGTTTACACATGATAACCATGGGACAAACCTTTGAATAGTACTTTATGTTTTCTTTGGACTCTCCCCTGGAAGATTTACTTGGTGCTTTATCCTCTACCCCAATTATTTCATGAAATCTTCAGAAGATTCCGAGAATGGCATTTATATTTACTTCTACTTAACGGGCGAGGAAACCGAGAACTAGAAAAATGAATGACTTGCCGAAAACCACAGAGCAAGTAAATAGTAGAGCTGGGACTCATTCGAAGGCCCGAGGCCCAGTGTTCCGACATCATAGGATTTTAAAAAAAAATTTTTTTTGAGCTGTAATTCATATGCTACAAGAAATTCACCCTTTGAAAGCATACAGTTTAACGATGTTCAGCATTTTCACAAGACTGGGAAAGCATCACTGCCGTGGAGGGCATATTTAGCGCTCCCACCGCGGAAAAAAGAAACCTGCAACCCTTTAGCAGTCTCTCTCCTTCCTCTAGCCCAGGGCAACCCTGAATCTACTTCCTGTTTCCATGGATTTGCTTAGTCTGGATGTTTCGTATGAATGGACTCATATAAATATGTGGCTGGCTTCTTCCATGTGCCATAATGATGTCAAGTTTCATCCGTTTTGGAACGAGCATCTCAGACTTTAAGAGTTAGGAGACAACTCAGACATCCTCTCCTGAGTCCTGTCATTTAACAGATGGAGAGACTGAGAACTAAGATGGCCCGTATGCTTAGTGGCATCCAGGTCCCCTCCTCCTAATCCTGTGTTATTCCCGCTGCAGTAAAACTAAGACTATCAGTATAATAGAAAAGATTTCCGCAAGGAGATTAAAGGTATTATATTAATTTGATACCATACATTAGAAATAACATATGGTAAGAAAACCTGAAGTTTTATTAAATGTTTTCGATTTTTGCAAAGAGTCTCATGAATTGTATATCTCATGAGACATCAGAATAGTACTGGACACTCGTGTAGAAAAATGGCATAATTGCCACAGCAGATTACGTGACTTAAAGTTAGATTTCGCTCTCGATGTACAAAGGTAACTATTTAAAAATCAAAATCTGAATTACCCTTAGCGAAAGTTCCAAATTTTCCCCTCCCCAGAGGTCCATGCCCTTGTCGTACTGTCCAATCTCATTAAAATAATGCCTTCTTATAGCAAAAATTCCTCCAGCCATTGCAGGAGACCTAAAAAGCACACAAAAATAGTCAGTTGATTTCAAGACTCAGTCATTATGAATTTCTGCCAAGATTATATTGAACATTGCTGATAACGTAGTTAAAAACTAGAAAACAACCACATTAACTAATACTGAAATTATCTTAACATACATTTAAGTATATAAAAATTATTAAATTAAAACCATAACGACCCCAAAGAAGACAATAACCTTTACTTAGCTCGCAACAAGTTATGCAGGCAATATATATTAAATGTTGTCTTGTTCGGAGGGAAAATTATCTTTAGAATGTGAGTTTCCCATGGGGATGACGATTGAATTGGGGAGGAGTTCAGAGACCCCTCCCCTTCTAAGGGCATTAAGTGAATTGTAATATTTATTTCTGAAAAAACAATCATGTTACAAAACATCCATTTTTTTTTTTTGTCTACCAATAGAGGGCCCAACAATACCAAATTAAATAGTTTTAAAATTAAAATAACTACACGTTCATTCGTTCATTCATTCATTTGTTCAAAAGAGTGTCTATTAGGCATCTATCATGTGTTAGGGATAAATGAGTGAGTCAGAGGCAGAGGCGTAAGTCGGGATGTCAGGCGGAGGTCACTGCCGTGGTCCCAGAGAAGGATGATGGAGTCCTGGATAGCAGTATAGCAACGAAGGCTGTGCGACGTGGCCAAACTCTCGATGTCTTTTGAAGACAGGACAGAGGACTGAGACTTGAGCACTTCGAGAGTAAGAGGCTGGAGAGAAGAGGAGGATCGAGCAGAGGAGGAGGAGGAGGAGCAGCGAGGCCAGGGGACCGTGGGGTCCTGGGGCCAGGGAGGAAGGCCTGTCGAAGAGAAGGGAGAGGTCCACTGCACGGGCGCTGCTGGCAGGCCAGAGGGACGAGGACTGAGAACCGAACGCTGGATTTAACACTGCGAAGGCCATTAACGAGGTCTGGCTGGGGGAGGGAACGAAGCCTGATTAAAGCGTGTTTAAGAGACGAGAGTTAACAGAGGCGGCGATAAAGGACTTCTTCGGCCACGGCGTTAGAAACTTTACTCATGTGGTTTGTGAAACAGATTAAGAGGAAAAGGAGAGAAATGAGCTTGGCGTCCAACGTTATCAGTAAACGTGAAAAGTGACCTGGACGAAATAGCCTCATGAATGCAGTGAAAACTCACAGTATTCAAATTGTTCTCACATTTAGACATACAGATTTCAAGGCTAATAATCTCGGAAAATCAGGTTTATCTCAACCTGTAAAAGGACAGGTAGAAGCCCTGGGATAAGTATTTTATAACTGAATTCGGCAAAGACATCGCCCACAGCGCTGACCGGCACACAGCTGGCTCCTGAGCACCGAGTCCACGTTCCGAGGGTGGACATCCGCGATCAGGGGGACACTCCCCAGGGAGCTGCTGTGAGCTGGGGCGAGATGCTCATTTTCAATGGAGAAAACGCAAAACCTACCAAATTCTATTATTACAGACTTTTAGAAACAAGATAAATAACCGAATACCATTAAGCCCAAGAAACTGAAGGAATAATCTCTGAAAGTTTTTCTTTTCCCCAAGTAGTGTCTATTTCTTTTCCCCAAGTAGTGTCCGCATCCAGAGGAAATCTCACCGGATGGGTCTAGTCAGTCCTTCTGGTCCATCCAGCTCATAAGAGAAAACATTGTCCCATTTAAACTGCAGATACCAGTCGAAAGCTCCTCTCACTAGAGGCGAGGGCCTGTATTCCAGGGTCGTGGAGTCAATGACATCTATCACAGGGCACACCACCATTTTGCGGTCCTTGGAGATGGCATACAGCAAGGGCTCCAGCCACACACGGTTCACCTCGCAGTGGCTATCCAGGAACACCAGAACGTCCCCTGGGGAAGCAAGAACAGGCTGGTGTTGGTCCGCACGGACGAAATATCTAACGACCCAAATCAACGTTCGAAACAACCAATTTGTCGAGCATTTACTATGGATTTGGCTCTCCAGGTGCTTTCAGTTCCATTGGGGGAGACAAGAAACACATACTTTATTTTGAACCAGGAACGTGGGACATCGTGCCCTACGGATTGTTCAGGAGTTGCTGGTGAACGTGGTAAAGAGTGGGTTTCGGGAAGATTCTAAAGAAGCAGGTGGAACAGAGCTAGCCTTCGATTAAACATAGTTTAGCTTAGCTTTGCTAGATCACCTCAATTTAGCAAATGTTTACTGCAAGGATGCTTTCTTTGGTGTTTAGTTTGGTGCTCGGGATGCAAAGATGCATAATTATTATTGCTCTCGAGTTCAAGCTTTAATGCGGTTCTATTCTGCTCAGAGAACGTGGTGGGGATTGCATGGCCAAAATAAAGAAACTGTGTTTGGTGAGGTCCAGTGCGAGCATTGGGACTGTTCTTTGAGGCAATTGTTTTTTTAGGACGATTTGGCAGTATCCATCACAATGTGAAAGAAGAATTTCTTTTACAAGGCCACTTGGAGCCATTTATCCCACAGGCGCCAGCATACGTTTGCGTAGAGATAGATAAACGTACGAGAATTGCCAGTGAAGCATTTTTTTTGTTTGTTTTTTTTGAGGAATAGTAAAAAATAAGACATGTTTGAAAAATGGCTAAACAAATGATGGCCACCCATTCACGGAATCCATACCGAATTACCACACTATGATCAAAAAACTGACGTGAGTCTTCAGTACTGTCATGGGAAAAGTTCCAAAACATTAAAATGAAATTAAAAGAGTAAGTCTCGGGACAATATAGCGTGATTCTATATATCTAAAAACCCTTAAAGCTGTACGTATACACACACGTGTATTCGTGCATAAAACCCAAGGTCTGAAAGCGCACACTCCGCGCTGTGTTAGTGGCTCGTGTTGCGTTTGGGACGATGAGTATGTATCGTCTGTGTAGTTAGGTAAGAGCATTGTCTCCATCGGTTAGGCCGACACAGCGAAAGAGAATCAGATTCTGCTGTTATTCGGTCTTCTGCCCATAGGGAGGCCGTGCTGAGGAAGAGACAGCTCGTCGGATCGCAACGCGGCCTGACGAAGCCCTTGGACACTTCCCACCTCCCCTGGTTCTAGTTCAGTGTTCTGCCGGCAACCTCTGAGCGTCAGGCTTCTGGGAAGCTGGACGGCAGGGAAGCTCGGACGCTCCCCGGGACTCCTCCTCACGCAGCGTTGGCTGCTCAGGCCCACAGCTGAGTCCCTCCCCGGGAGCCCCTGATGGAGGATGGGGGCTGCCTTGTCCAGGGCAATGTCCCCTCTCTGCACGGCTCCTGGTGGCAGCCCAGAGGGTGCCGCTCAGAGAGCCTTGCAGTGAGGAGAGGGTCTGACAGCTTCCGAAGCGTCCTTCGGGATCTACTGTGGTATTCACAGCAAGGCCTTCTGCCCCGGGGCTCCCAGCCAATGACCAAGCACCCTGGGGAGAACCCGAGCCGGGCCACTGGGGCCCAATGCAGGATTGCTCGAACGGACCATCTGAGCTCGCGGTCCCCGCCAGCCCAGCTGAGCCTCTCTGAAGCTCTTTCAACCCAAACCTCCTTCCTTTCCTCTCTCCTTTTCCGGGGGCCAGGCCAGCAGCTTCTGGCCCGCACTCCTCCCTCTCCCCTTTATCCTTCGTGGACAGTTCTCTCCGTAATCTCGTTCCCTTCCTGTTTCATCTTGGCCTCGGCGGCCCTGAACTGGCGCCCATGCTGGCTTCAGAGTCTCCCGTGGGATGAGCAGCTGCACCCCAGCCCAGCTCGCCCCACGAAACCCTGCTTCCCTCACTCCCAGCAAGCGTGGCTCCCAAGAGCACCCCCGTGGGTTCCCTGGGTCTCCAGCGCCACTCAGAGTCTGTATCTGGGGGCCTCATCCTGTAGCAGGGGCTGACATCATGGTCCCTGCAAAGGACCATGGACATAACAAATGAACTACTTTGAGTCAAAAGAAGATATCTTCTATCGGACATAACAAATGAACTACTTTGAGTCAAAAGAAGACTAAAGACTCATATGACTGAAATCCATGTCCACTCTGTTTCTTCCAGTGGAGACATGGAGCGTCCCCATGAGGATTACTTCTGCACTGGCAGAAAGATCTCTGTGACACAGACGCTGGGTCCCGTCCCAAAAGAAATGTTCGTACCTGAAGCACGAGACGCTCCGATCAGCCGCGCCCGAATCAGCCCCTCTCTCTTTTGGTTCCTTATTAATTTGATCTTTCCCCGAAACATTTCCAGGTGATGGTCTAGTTTTTCTTTCAAATCATCTGGGCGGGGAAAAAAATCCAACACTTGACAATTAATAAACTGTAACTATAGAAATGAAAACAGTTTGTCATCATTTCAATTGCTTCCTACAAACCATGCTAATCCACAGACGTTCGAACTTTAAAAGGAAGTTTTACCTCACGGAAGGAAGAGAAAGAAAAGGGATTCAGCATCAAAATCAACTATAAATATTCTTCGATGTTTTCAGTGAAATACCTCGATTTTAATAAGTCATTATTAAAACTTTATTAGAAAAGGCATGAGTTATTTCACTTTGGAGCAGTCTGACTTTATTACTCAAAACGGTACTTACAACAGCTCAGGCAAACTGTCAACCCCCTAGTCTGTTTCCTGGTTGGCAAGAAGCACTGTCCACCATATTCCTTGCCCTGCTGTAGTGAGAGCAGGAAACACATCTCTTGACACAGAGCCTCGTACCCAACAGCCACTTAATATTTGGAGATTAATAGGATGACGATAAAGGAGGCTGGGCTCAGGTGAGATGGATCCAGATGCCCCAGAGTTTTCCTAAGTCCTAGGACTCTGGACCAGGAGGTGGGGCATCAGTGGAAGCAGGTTCCTTGTCATCTGGGCGAAGGAGGGATCTCTTTCCTTGTCTTTAAGAAGAATGCCGGGCACTGCTCAGAGGCAGACAGGGTGGGGGCGGCGGCTCAGCTCCCAGGTGAGCAAACACCTCTCCAACAACCAGGATGCAGAGGAAGTCTGGGAGCCAGATCGAGGAAATGAAGGCATTCCGGCAGTGGTAATCTCTGACATCAAGTGGAGGGCCTGGGTTTTTCAGAAGGTGGTCATGTTGTTGCCTTGTTGTCAACAGGGACCAGGACTCTGAATAAGCTGGATGGCAGCAGGCCAGCTCTGGACATGGCTCTCACGTAACTCAGTGGGGGTGGTCCCCAGGCCCGTCCGCTACCCCCCCAGGCTGAGGGAGTCATCGGAAGTGCCTACTGGTGTCAGCTGGGAAAGGCAAGCTGTACTTCAGAAACGTCTCCTATAGCCCATGCAAAATCATTGCAAAAAAGAATGCGTCCATCTTTGCCTCCATCAGAACTCGGAACGCCCCATTTCCCGCATTTTCTGGGTTGAGGCCCTGTGGGAGTCGAAGCCTGAGCTCCTCGGTGGGGTGGGTAAAATCGCCACAAGCCACGTGACCGTGGATCAGGGAGGGGATGCAGAAGCACAGCCATATCTTGGTTAACAGCAGTGAGTCCACTGATGGCTAAAGAATGTATAAGCGGGTCACCAGGTACATCTCCGAAGTCACGGTGTGGTTCTGGAAGGCTGGGGGAGGGGTCCTGGGGCCGTCTGGGATGGCATCCCCACGGCACGACCCCTGTCCTGCTGGGTGAGATGGTACAACTCTATGGTCCAGCAGAAGATCCCACCCTGTTCCCTCCTGCTCATGGCTCTGCTGGGGGCTTCTTGCCCAGCACGTGGCCACATGTGTTGCTCCCTACTACTGATCAGAGAAGGGATCCGACCATCTATCTAGGTGCCCGCCCACGCACGAGACCAGAAATAAATAGCACTGTGCCCCTCTGATGTGGGTGGCTCCCACAGAAATAGTGTCATGCAGGACAGTGCCTGGCCAACATGTGAAATTCCTAAACATGGCTGTCATTAGCTTGAGTTACATTCTACCTTTGAGTCGAGGCATCTAGAGTTTCTTCCTTTTCTTGTTGTTCCTACTGTTTCTCCTCTTTTTCATTCCCGTCCCACCGTGGGTCCGATTCACAGTGGGCTTAGTAAACGTCCAGGAAACCTATGTGACACTGACTCATCGTTGCTGCCACAGAGTGTGGATGCTACAGAGACCCGCAAACTCCAAAACTCTTTTCACTAATCCGGGTCCCTCTTGGCTTGCCTCCGGTTTGTAATTAAGTTGTAAAAAAATACAACTAATTTCAAATGCTAAGTGTAGTTAATCGGATTTTGTACTAATATCGTGAATCTTTAAGCCAGGGAGCATGGAGGAAGAAGCACTTAACTGTAGTTGGTCCAATCAGAATTCTTTCATGTGATGGAACTGGATCGTGTCTCCTCCTGGCATTAAGCCTGTAATAGCTCCCCATTTTCTCCAGATAAAATTTAAACGATGCCCTTTTACAGGCAGTTGCCTTTTTATATCTCTGGTTTTACGTCCAGCCCTCCTCCACAATGCTACATTCACACGTAAATGACCAAAATACAGAACTACTCCAAACTCGCCATGTTTTCTCCCGTCTCTGGGCATTTACAAAGCTGTTTCCTCTGCCTGAAACACTCTCTCCTTCCTCTCCACGTGGATGACTCCAACTTACCCGTCTGTCTTTTTGGACAACACGTCTTCCTGAACATCTCTGGTTATCTCTGCAAACCAGGCTGGCGCCCCTGCGTTCACCTCATGGGAGCATTAGTCACCCCACGAGCCCAACACAAGGATGAGGACCGGTTCGTACACCCCCACCCGTACAGCGATGGCACTGAGCACAGTGCCCGCCTCAACGCCCACCGAAAGCTGTCCTTTGTATAAAATAACTCACACGCCATCAGAGAGAGAGCACTGCCTTCAGAGCAGATGAGAAAGACCGTTGTTTTGTCTTACCGAATTCGCTCATGTCATCTACCAGAATAATTTCTTCAAGGACATGGTGCGGAGTGAGGTTTATGACACTGGACACTGTCCGAAACAAGGCATTAAACTCTTCATTGTGGAAACAAATGACGATACTGGCCGTAGGTAGACTGACCGGGTAATGTTTCCTACGACACCTGCAGGCACGAATAACAGCGGGAAAAGAATGATTCATCTCAAAGCCTTAGGTGTGTTGGCATCTCAGCTCCCTGGTTTCCAACTATATTACAAAGCTATAGTGATCAAAACGGTATGGCCCTGGCATGAGAACGGACACACGGCTCAATGGAACAGAATAGACAGCCCAGAAATAAACCCATCATGTACGGTTAATTAGTTTACGGTAAAGGAGCCAAGAATGGACAGTGGGAAAAGGACAGTCTCTTCTATAAATGGTGTTGGGGAAACCAGACAGCCACTTGAAAGAGAATAAAACTGGACCACTATCTTACTCCATACACAAAAATGAACTCAAAATGGATTAAAGATTTCAATGTAGGACCTGAAACCGTAAAACTTCTAGAAGAATATAGGCGGTAGGCTCCTTGATCTCAACCTTGGCAGTGACTTTTTGGATCTGACGCCAGAAGCAAAGGCTACAAAAGCAAAATTAAATAAGTGGGACTATATCAAACTAAAAAGCTTCCACTGAGAAAAGGGAACCATAAACAAAATGAAAAGGCAATGTACTGAATGGGAGAAAATATTCGCAAATCATATATCTGGTAAAGGGTTCATATCTAAGATATATAAAGAACTCATACAACTCAACAGTAAAGAAACAAACCAAACAATCTGATTAAAAAATGGGTGTAAGACCTGAACAGACGTTTTTCCAAAGAAGACATATACATGGCCAACAGGTATGTGAAAAGATGCTCACCATCACTAATCATCAGGGACATGCAAATCAAAACCATGATGAGATATCACCTCACACCTGTTAGAATGGCTGTTATTAAAAAGACAAGAATTAACAAGTGTTGGTGAGGTGCACTGTCAGTAGGAATGTAAACTGGTACAGCCAGTAAGGAAAACAGAATGACTGTTACTCAACCAAAATAAAAATACACCTACCATATGGTCCAACAATGCCACTTCCAGGTATTGATTCTGACTTTTTAAAAAGAAAACACTAACTCAAAAAGATATCTGTACCCCTATGTTCACTGCAGCATTATTTATAATAGCCAAGGCATGGAAACAGCCTAAGTGTCCATCAGTGGTGAATGGATAAAAAACTGTGAGACAGATAGATAGACAGACAGATAGATAGATAGATAGATATAGATATCTATATGACGCAAAAAGTTCCATTAAAAAACAGAACCACAAAAAACAGATCTTGCCTTTTATGACAATGTGTGTGGACCTTGAAGACATGCTACATGAAATAAATCAGACAGAAAAAGACAAACGTGAATGATCTCCCCTACAAGTGAAATCAAAATAAAAACCCAATAATTCATCTCCAGCCCCCTAAAAAAAAAACACCAAGCTTACAGAGAGAACAGATTGGTGGTTGCCAGAGGCAGGGGGTGGGTGGAATGGGTGAAGTTGGGGGGGAGGGGCGGCAAAAGGTATAAACTTCCAGTTATAAATAAATAAATCATGTGGATATGATGTTCAGCATGGCGACTGTAGTTCATAACACTGTACTACATTTTTGAAAGTTGCTAGGAGAGTAGATCTTAAAAGTTCTATCACAAAAAAATATGTATATATTTTTTCGTAACTATGTATGGCGACCCACGTTAACTGGGTTTATTGTGGCGATTGTATTACAGCATATACTAACATCGGATCATTATGTGGTACACCTGAAACTAACACGTTATACGTTAATTATATCTCGATACAAAAAATCAGGAGACACATACATTTTATCCCTGGTATCGGGCACGAGTCTCTCTCTGCCCAGGCTTGTACTGACAACAGCATTAAATCCATATTCAAAAAATCCATGAACAAGGTTTGGGTCCGTATAGTTAAACTTCTTAGCTGCAAGAAATGGTGATTAGAGTCACGTAAGTTTTGGTTTACTATCACCATTTTGATAAAGGGGCAAAGTTTTTCACTGTACCTATCAAAATTTATTTCTGTGAAAAACAAAGTGATAGAAAACAAATACTGCAAACTGTATTTAAAAATTGTTAAATTTAGGTGACATATACAACGTACCTATTTTATTATTTTCTGCATGTAGTATATATTTCATAATTTAAAAATCGAATTGCTCTTTAAAAAAAAAAAACATTCCCTGACTCTTCCGAACATGAAATTTATGTCGTTTTCCCCTTAAAATGGCTAACAGAGAAAATAAAAATACTTACCTAATTTTAAAAATGTCCCCCGTTCTTTGGTTTCATCTCTGTTAGGCCTTTTAACTCTTACACGTGGTTTTGGTCTTGTTCCTGAGCCGTGGAGAATTATCTGTTGCAATTTTTTATCAAGGAACCAAACCGATGTAGCCTCTTGGGTTTCCTTTGGCCAGTCGCTCACATAATTGTGGCATAAATAAATAAATGACAGAGCTGTCCAGATCCCAAAGGTCAAAGATCCACAGAGTAAACACTGAATGATGACATGTCTCATTGTAAACCTAGCATTTTTGAGAGTCCATCCAATTTCCTAAATCAGAAGGATTTAAGAGAAGCTATACATTTAGATATTTCAGTGGATCATCTACTTGGCTTAAGTTCAATTTTCAGTTTTAAAAACAATCATTTTGATAGCAGTGCTTATCATATACTTTGATAAAGTGTATTTTTTTCAATTATCAAAAACTTTTAAAGCAGATATGCATAAGATTATGTAACATCGAAATGCACAACATGCTTATAAAACACATAATATCATTTAAAGTCACTGGCCCTTGCACCCGAGCATGTAGCTAAAGGAAATAATGTGAAAGAAGGTATATTCGTTCCTTATATATGTTCAATCCCTCTTGGAGTGACAGTCTAGTTCTCTATTAAAAAATCAGATTTGACACAGTCAGACTTAAATATATATAAAAACATACGACATCGCATGATGGAAAGAAAGCGGGCAATAAAAACTGTGGCTCCTCAGTGATGGGACTATGTCATGTTGCAACCAACCATTTTGGCAATATCTAGTTAAGTTGAATTTACACACATGGTACGCTGGAGCAGCTCCATCCCTAGAAGTACACCCTGAAGAGATTCTCGTGAGACAAGTACGAGAATGTCTACTGAAGCGATGTTTGTAATGGAAACTAGACACAATTTAAGTTTCCCTCAGCAGGAGAGCTGATAAGTGGGGCTATTCATTAAACTGGAAACGAACCGGCTAGAGCTACTTGTGTTAATGCTGTAAAATCTAAAAGAACAATGTTGCACGAAAAAAAGAAAAAAATCGGATAGGTACCATGCTACCTATATGTGTTTAGAATTCATGAAACGCCGGTGCCATTGTTTATGGGGATACCGCATGCAGCAGGCGTGCGCAAATTTAGGGTAGTGATTATTTTCAGGGGGGAGGACATTGAGGAGGAGAATAAAGAGTTCCTATTAAGTTATTAATGCTTATTTAAAAAAAAACTATGAAATAAACGTGGCAAAATGATGAGGCTTGATCAAGCTCGATGATGTATACGCAGCGTTCGTGATATCTTTCTCTGTATTTCCCTTATGTTGGAAATATTTCATAATTCATCGGAAAAGAAGAAGAAAGCCTTGAGAGACATCTTTTCGAGATGATAGATGGAAAATACCTGTGCCCGTCTCCTCTCTCCTCTGGCTCCACAGGGAATAAAAACAAAGCCAACAGCTCCCCGCGCCCCCCGCCCCAGCCCGGGGAGAGCGTGATCGAAGGAACACCAGTGCCGATGTCAGCACGGGGTGGGAAGACAGGAAGCTACTGGATGTGTGATAACGATCTGGAAGGACAGAAGAAGTCACAAGTCCAAGCGTGCCGTGCAACAGGCTGAGCAGCCTCCGGGGCAGCTGAGGGCTTGGAGGCCCAGGCACGCCAGGGGACGCACAGGCCGGCTTTGGGAAAGGCCGCGTGGGAACGCGCTGAGCGGTCAGCTCTCCTCACCTCCCCTGCACAGAAAAGTCAGGGGGAGCCCGGCACTTTCTCCTCTGGAGAAATGGAAGTGTAGGAGCTTGGCCTCTGCAGAGGGAAACTCAGATATGGGACATGTGGATCGCACAGCCCTCCCGTGCGTGAGGATCCTGGCAGCTAGGCTGCCGTACACGCGAGGGAGGAGACGGGAGAATCGTTCCAGAGCAAAGGCCTCCACACACCGACGTGTGGGAGTGACCAACAGAGCAGCTGCCTCCTGCGTGTCACCCTGAAGACAGCGCACCTGTGGCTCACGTCAGACACCCAGAGGTTCCAATCAGCGGCTTAGTGTCCCACTTTCGAATCGTCATGGAATGCCGTCATGGACTGAACTGAGTCCCACAAGTATCACCTGCTGAAGTACGAACTTTCCACGTGACTGCATTTGGAGGCGGCGTCTTACAGAGGTAAGAGTTTAAACAGGGCATACGGGGGCCCTAAGCCAATCCAAATGAGTGTCCTAAGGAGACCACCTGACGAGACCCCAGGGGAGCGAGTGCAGAGGACGGGCCATGTGAGGACACGGTGAGGAGGTGGCCCCCTATGAGCCGAGGGGGGTGGCACTGGGAAGGAGGCTAAGATGGGGCTTGGGGGCTGGGTCCCTGCCCGGCTGGATGGGCCCGAGGCCTCGCTGCTGCTGGGAAGGTGGCCTTCTGGCAGGCCTGGCAGGCCGTAGGCGCACCTGTTATCACTTCACTGGCGGTGACCTGGGGTGGGACGCTGGTGGAGGGGACTGTTCTGGGTGGCACACATGAAGGGCGGGGGCAAGGAGTAGTACGTAGAAATACTCAGGACTCAGATGGCTGTCACTGGACGCTACGGATGCATTTGAGGTGAGGGTGCTCAGTCACTAACTTAAGGCAAAATGTCAGTCACAGGGCGTCCTGAGCATCACCAGAAGGGACTCCTGTCTCCTGCAACCGAAGGACAGACAAGGCTGAGGGTCATGCCCGTGGCTGGACACGAGGGCAGCAGAGCTCCGGGGAGGGTTGGCCCCTGAGCATCCTGCGAGGACGTAGCATGGGACACACTGACAAGCATCCGGGTGGCATGATAGAGGCTCACGGACGGAATGAATGACACTTTAAAAACAAAACATCCGATTATGCGAAGAAAAGGGGTCGAAGGTGTGAGAGAAGATTCACACAGCTGAAAACAGAATGAAGCTGTTTTCACTTTAAGTACCACCACGTCCTCCTGTTACACGGCTAAGTTTTGAGAGATTTCTTTTTCAACCTTCTCCAAAAAGCAAAAGCAATTGGAAACTAATTAAAAGAGAACGGAGGTGAGGGGAGGCAACCAAACTTAATACACAAAATATAACAGTATTATTACTAAAAAGGAAAAGAAGTCCCTATTCTCTATAGGGATTCTACTATATGAAGAAAAATTGGGGAGAAATACTCTTTAGATGTCAACACTTATAAACCTTGGCCCCCAATTTTTTTTATTTTACTAATATATGTTTTCTTGTATTACGTTTTCCTTAAGGCAGATCCCCGTTCTCCGGAATACGCACGCCATCCACCCCTGCCCCATTCACGGCTCCACAAAACCCTACCGGACAGCAGATCGAGGTCTGAGGTCGCCTTTTCAACTCAGTCCCCTCAGAAGGAAGCCATGTTCAGTTATTTTCTTCTCTAAAATATGTTGAATTCACATGCTAGAAAAATACAGAATTTATAAAAGGTATTTCAATGATGGTTTGTAGGTAGAGCAAACCAAATGCATTAACTCCCCCCCTCCGAGGTATTCATTAAAAGAATCTTGTAAAGAAGAAAAAAATGCTGCTAATAACTGCTAACATACATGCTTACGTGCAAGTACACACACCCACCGAGAAACCAAAACCCTAAACTAAGTCTGGATACGATCTTTGAGTTTGTTTAAAATTGTGAGTCTTCAGAGTCAGGAAAATATGACCGCGCTTTAGATGATATCACAACTAATTTTTCTGTAAATAATCCGTGTCTGTAACCCCTAGGTTTCCTAGGACAATCGTAGTAAGATCTCCATGCAAGACCATGACTTTCTGATACCATGAAGGGCTTGTTTCTCTCTCTCTCTCTCTCTCTCTTTTTTAATTGAGGAAATAATACTGTTGCTTGGTGTAAATCTTAAGAAGCACAAAGGGGTATAAATTGAAAATTGGCGCTGATTTTCAAGAACTAAAGTCATCACCACGCCCAGTCCGCCTCCAGGGTGACATAACCCAGCCTGGGAGCCAGAACCCTTTTTTAAAAAATCAGATCTTTTCAATGCTAATCCCCAGAGCCAGCATCTCATTCAAGGTTCAATGACACAGTGTGCTGCTTCCACGGATTGGAGATGGAAGCCCCCCACCCCCCCGCCCCCATTTCTGTTCCCACTCCCAGCACGCGGAGCTCGCCCACCTACCACTGACACAATTGCACTGGCCGCTGTGCAGTTAATGTATTTTCCAGGCCGAGTCAGAGGCAGAATTAGGCAGGAGTGTACGCCGAATAGTCTGAAAGAGGGGACTTTTCTGAATGGCTGACTTGGTGGCCCCCGGGTCTTGGGCAAATTCTTGACTGTGTTGGGTGGTCCTGCCTGCATTGCATGGCCGTGCTCAAATTACAGCATCGGGCTGCCTCACAAAGCCCTGTGACATCACACAGGATGTCCCAGCCCCCAGCAGCCCCCGTCAGCCCCTGCCTGGAAGCTTCTGTCAGCAGGTGGAATGAGGATGTCCAAAGGTCAGAGGGTCTTTGGAGAAAGTCTTTCCTCCGGCTGAAGAAATAAGAAAAGCCTCGTATTGGGCAAGTCCAAATCCTAGCCTTCTCTAGGCGAGGCCTCATTTTTAGCTCTTTCGAAATAAACTTAAGAACAAGCTTTACGTATACCGCGAGTGGCTCACAGATGAACTAAAAGGTTATTTGGCGGCCTTTTAATTTTTATTCTATATTGCTCAACATTTAGACATTAGCAGATGAGTTTGGCCAAAAGCTTGTGAAATTTCCTCTTTCTGAACGTGTCAGAGCAGATTCGACCCTCCCCGCCTGAGGAGGCTGACTCAGTGTTTTGTGAGCAGCAGACGTCTGCTTAGGAGCCTGTGGGAGGCAGGGGGCGGGTGGGGCCTTCTGCATCTCTCCCCGGCAGATGTGACAGAGGTAATGACTCCAAGCCTAACGCCGAGTCTCCTTTAGAAAGGCTAGAAGGGAAAGTCTTCCTTCGTCCTTTCATAATAATATTAATATTAAAAGGAAAGCTTTTATTCATAATAGCCCTCAACTGGAAACCGCCGAAATGCCATCGATAGTAGAACGGAGAACTTGTGGTCATTCACATAAGTGAATGCCAAACAGCGACACAATGACTGAACTAGAGCCACACGGACAACGTGGAAGAAGCTCTCGGGCCTAAGATGGAGCGACAGAAGCCAGACACAGGAGCTTACAGTTCTAGAAGACGCAAAATTAATCCAGAGTGAAAATAATCAGAGTGGTGATTATTTCGGGGTGGGGGAGGGGGGGCCTATTTCT